CCACCACTTTTGTAGCGCGAAAAATCCGGGGGTATGAATCCCCTATTTGCGAGGACCCCCCTGAAACGGCCCCCACAAACACTAGCAGCACTCTTCAGATCACTCGTACTCATCCATCACCACCTTATATATATGTTACATTTTCTCTCTCACACACACACATGAATTATTTTATTTTGCAACTATTCCCAATACTTTACGTGCCCAATACATGTCCACAGTCCACGGGCTGAATCCGTAGGATTGCTGTTCGGTCTCGATTTCATTTTTTTTTTATTTTGATCCTGTCGGTTCGGGCCGCGGGTCAGATGTCGGACCACATTGTATACTTTAAAAAAAAAAATTGGGGTCGTTCCGGCCCGTGAACCGCCGGGTAGATGAATCGACCCTTGATTCTTGGCGGGTCAGTCGCGGACCATGTGTTGGATGGCCCATGGTCCGACGGGCCGGGCCTCGGCCCGTTGACTGACCATCTCTAGCCCAATGGTTAATTTGTAGTGGAATGTAAAATAATATTTTTAAATAAAATAATTAAATTAATTTGGTGTAAAAGTAGAAAATAAATAATTAGAAGTGAACTTATATCAATGAAAGAAGGGTTAATTACATAAAAAAAACTCTAACTTTTTGTTTAATTGCAAATAAAACTCATCATTTTCAATTTGGAAAAAAATACCAAACTTTTATTAAGTGTTGCAATTTTAACATGATCTTGTAGCTCTCCTCCGTGCCGACAACATATCCGAGTTTCAAGAAAAAAAATTGACGATAAGGCTTCCAATTTTCCGGTCAAATGTCGTAGATCTACAAATTTTCTACGACCTTTGACCGAAAAATTGGAAGTCTTATCGTCGGGATTTTTTCGTGAAACTCGGATATGTTGTCGACACGTAGGAGAACTAGAAGATCATGTAAAAAATTTCAATATCCGACGAAGTTAGCCGGAGGCGGGTGGCGGTTGGCGGCGGTGGTTTGCGGCGGTCCGGCGAGCGAGACAAAATAGCAACACTTAATAAAAGTTTGGTATTTTTTTGCCAAATTGAAAAGGTTGAGTTTTATTTGTAATTAAACAAAAAAGTTGTGGTTTTTAATGCAATTAACCATAAAAGAATAATGTTTAGTCAATTGCAGTGTAATTTGTTGTATGTATTAATTTGCATTGTGTATTGTTATTGACATTAAAGATAATGTACTGTAATGTTCTGTCACACAAATATTATGTTATCAGTTTTGATATTGCTATAGCTATCGGCTAACCATATTAACACCAAGCATGACTGGGTCGACTAGGACGGTTAAACGACCTATCTTTTATAAAGACGACATGAAGGCTTTATAGGAGAGACCGAACAACCAAGAGACCAAATGACATGGAGGCCTTGGAATGACCAGAAACAATCGACGACCAACAGGCCTGTCGGACGACCTAAAGTGAGATGATCGAATGGGCCATCTCAACTTAACGACTAGTGAAGAGAGCCATGAAGACTTGATGATCGTAATAAACATGTTTACATGGGACAAAAATAATCTAATAGAGATAAAAAGGAATCTAATGACAATTAATTAGCTAGGATGTGATTATGATGAGTTGAACACTAGTAGATAAGATCAAGCCCGAGCAGCCAGTCAGGCTGACCTGGGACAACCTGGGCATTCGGGCTAATTAACTATGGGCAATTCGGGCTATCTAAACAGTAGGTATCCAAAACTCCCACATGTATTGTACGAGATTCTCGCTAATTACAATTCGTCCACATAGGATAGTAAGTGTAAAAATCATACCGTCAATCATCATTCAAAAGATTACGACCACAATAAATTAATCGGTTCCATGATGCATCTAACATTATCCTGATTAATTATTGATTAAGCTTCCAATCAAATATAGTTTGGAGAATCCAAAGAGGATTAAAATGATAAAAAGATCAACGCTTAGACTATCTTTATTCATGACCTAACCCAACCCAACCCAACCCAATTCTTTTAA